AGTGAAAGCAACGTTTTTGATAACAGGTGATCTCAATGCAAGCCCTCAACAGCTGATTTGCCCTAAGCTTCCAATTGGCTAATCCCACTTTACTTAAGCTGCTCTATAGCCTGCCTACTCGTTGCTGCTCCCATCTGCAAACCGCAATTGCGAACCTCCTCAACCCAGCTCCTCCTTTTATGCTTTGTCTGACTTGATCAATGTCATGATGTTGTCATTGATGCCTGCTCTGTTTGGGTTTTTGCTTGGGAAAGTAAGCACATGGAAGCACAGGGAGATGCCAGAACAGAGCCATAATGCCAAATACAAATAACTGCAAAAAAAACAAAACATTAATTTATAATATTAGACCTTTTGCACAAAAATTTAACTTGGTGGGTTATTATTTTTTTTGCAGGATTCCCAGGATTTTTGTGCCAACAAAGCCAAGCTTTACAAGCATGTACACATGAAAACATGTGCAAACCATCTAATTGCGTTGCCCTCTACAGGAACCAGCATGCAGAAAACACAGCAGTCAGCGGCACACTTAACATCGTTGTAGACCTCTGCAGTATGTAAATGTACAAACACATGTTCTCTCCTTCCCCCTCTTCACATCTTCATCTCCTTCGCCTGTATTCCCCTCTGCAGGCCTAATTTTAAAGGCGCTGCTTTATTTAAAGGACCCGCTTTAATATTTAATGTGATTAAGTGTGTAGGATAACCTACTTAGTACTAGCATGTACAGCCGCACACTTGCTCTTACCATGCAGGGAGAGCAGAATAAACAATGAATCTCTCTTTTTTCTTTTTTTGCTCACTTCTGAAAGAAGTCTTTCAGGCTGGATGAAAGAAAACAACAAACAGACTCTGGCATCACAAGCAGCAACATATTCTTGACATATTCATCCAAACTAACTCGTTATGAGGGTTTAGTGGTGGGCCATTCCCAGCATTTAAGAAGTCTCCAACACCTTTCACCCTATCAACATTCTGTGTCTGTAACCTCTACCAACAAGGTCGTGTTTTTGTTTCTCAGCTACGATACCAAACTAATACTCTGGCCAGATTTTAATCAAAGAATGAAGATGAAGCATGTGCCAAGAACAAAACACTATTACATTTGGAGCTTAGTCAGATCCACACCACCAAAGACAATGTAATAACCCTACATGGAAAATAAGATACTGTGTGGGTTTGAAAATGTGTATATCACAGTAGAGTGAAGAATTCAGCTTGGGGAGATTTTTTAAATCTCTCTGAAGGTCGTTGATGTCACCCGTGGAAAAAAAAACAACATGTTCAGTGATCTAAGATCTAAGATCTGTGTGTTAGAAATACTTTCATTCTCACCCATTTGTACCTTTCTTTAACAAGTACCCACACACATGGCCTTAAATCAAAGCACCAGCTACATATCTGAAGCAATGTACTGTCTTATTATATTTAAAGCTCTTCCAGAGAAACTTAAAAGAAAATGTAGGTTTTGAGTTTGAGTCTAGACTGTGTTTGACAAACTCCGATGCCCTTTTCAGGAGAATCTCCGGAGCGGTCCTCCTGAAATGATCTAGATATTATCTAGTGCAGATATTATCTAGTGCATATGTGAAAATGGTTTCAAGGGTGCCAGAAAGATTTTGATTAACCCTTGACTGTTACCGTTACTAATAGGTTGCACCAATCATATGCCTTCAAATGGAATAATGGAATGGGAACGTTGACAAAAGCCAAAGACTACAACCCAAGAACAGAAACGAGGAAAGACAGGAAGGAAATTACACACAAGATGTACCTAGCTTATTTTCATAGAAAAAATGAAACTGTGTGTTCAGTGTTAAGATTGGAGGGGCCACTGATCAGGCAGGTTGCCAAACAAGTTATCTATCTTTAATGCTATGTTGTATCTAGTTCTGTGTATTATAACACAAATATAATGCATCACTAAAGACTTTAAGCCAAACTTCTGCAGTCTGTGGTAAATAGTCAAAGATAGAGCTGGAAAGAAACTGGAAAGAAACCAGAATAAATCAGTTGACACTTACTCTACTTTTATCTGTAAAATGTTTTGAGGAGAATGGTTTTTGTTGAAATATGGCGCCTCATTATTGGGAGTAACAACACTGCAGCTGAAAACCACTTAGAATAAACCCTATGTTTGTATGGGCGCACACCTCCAGTACAGTAATTTGTTTTCACAGCTTCAAACCCTTTGAAAAGACAAGCAAGATTTCCCAGTTTGCCCCTGGAGCCATAATCATTATGTGTGCAAAAAAAAACCAAAAACAAAAAAAAACAGTTTTGTTTCGATCTATATGCTGTCACGGAAGAGAGGAACCGACTGGAAAATTGTTGAAAGTGGCTGCTGCATTCAGGATAAGCCCCGGCAACTAGCAGAACTTTGTGAGACATTTTGACACTATGGAAGGCAAATGATGCTTGCAGCGGGTAAACAGTTGGAAAAAGAAACGCACATTTTTCAACCTGTTTGTGAGTCATTCAGTGTAAATAACAAGCAGAGGCTTTGAACAATTCACTTTTCACATCAATTCTGCTGCCTTTACTGCCTTCACACAGAAGACAAATCCGTTTAGAGTGTGAGATCCTTCTTTATTTTCACATCACAACTCAGAATCAGTTTTATTCAGAAGTGTTTTTTGTTTTTTTACATAATTAATAGTGATAAAAGCAACAATGAGAAAAAAAAAGGTTACATCAGTATAAAGGACGATTTAAGAATTCTGTTACAAAGACATTGTAGATGTAAACATGAAATCTCTATTGGCAAAAGCAAAAAAAAAACAAAAAAAAAACATTTTTTAAGAGAATTTCATAAAGCATTTAAAGCCTTTCTGCACAATGTTCGACATGAGATCAATAGTGTTGTGTGTTATCAAATGCAGACTTCTTCTCAATGTCATTAAAGGCATTTCTTGAGCTATGATGTAGTGAAATGTTAACATTTTTTATGTTTTGGTTGGTGTATGGTCGCTGCTTTAATCTGCCCTCGTCAGTGAAAAAAAAAAAACAGACAAGACCTGAAAATGTGTTCAGTCAAAAGCTTGCATATCAAACGACTGTTTAATGGTTTCATTGTTAAGAAAAGATTACACAATCATAAAGATCAGTCAGGCAGAGCTATCAAAAAGTCTTGCTGTGACTTCCTCCACTTACATCACACAGGCCGAGGGTCGGAATCTAAATTGTCTGCCTGTGTCTGTAATAGTGTCAGAATGCACAAACGAAAAAATGAAGTTTCTGTGTTTAGGCCATATCAAGCCCTTAACACAAACAAAATCAAATGTACCTTAATGCCATTAGGGTTTTCTGAATAACAGTAAATCTGTAACTGTATTGCAGTGGTGATGTCACAGCCACAGGAAACGTAAAGTTGGTATAAACTCTGAGCCAGCTGTAAATGAAATGTATTCCTCTTTGCATTCTCCGTGTTGATTGGTCAATGGTCAAGGAACATGTCAAAAACAGCGTCGAAAAATGAGGGCAATGAAAATCTGCAAAGCTGGGATTTCTGTAAAGTTGTTACTATGCTGTTTGCTGTTGTTTTTTTTTCCTCACACACTTGGGACTGTATCCCATTCCGTATCAGGCTGATATCTTGTATCGAGAGTAAGGATGTTTCTCGCGACTGATTTCCAAATAGTAAATTCCCTCTAACTGAATAGTCCAAAGGTAAGAAATCACTCGGACAACAGTCAATATCGAGGACAATTTCCCGAAGTTGAAGGGAAGCACATCTTGCGCAGTTTTTTGTCTTAATGATCTCCGTCATGTTTCAGACCAAGCAGGATCACAGGGTCTGTGGGTAAAAGACGTCAATTTGGTTTGCCGATTGTGGCTAATGTTTGCACTGCTAGCAGTATCGAAGTTTTGTCCCTCCTTGCAGGTAAAACATTCTGTGATGAATGTGCTTATGCATTGCTCCGGTCAGTGTGCCGATTTTTCCTGACACAACCTACATACATTTTACTTGATCAAATTACTGCCAAACGGCGCAGCTCCCATGGGCTGCTATACGTTAGCAGTGCTTGTTTACATCCGGGCAGTAGAGCAAGGAGAGAAGGCTCATGAGCTGGGGCTTCAACCAGTCTATGGCTACAGCACGGCTAGTGGCAGGTGGCTGCGTTACAATTTGAGAACAACATTTGACTAAGGGCTCATGTATATAAAAATGTAATAACCTGTTCAACCCACTAGTAATTGTGGTGCTGACTAACAAGGATTGCAATGTTTTGATCGTTTCATCTGGTAGTCATACACATTCCTAATCCAGATATCTGTGACTTTGGCCATGCCTTACACTAAAAAATACTTTAGGCTGTTTACAGTAGCATAATAGCTTTTATGGCTTTAAATGCGATTTTTTTGATCCAGCAGATGTCGCCCTTGAGCACCAGCATGAAACCAAAACAACTCGCGGTGCATTGTTGTGTTAGCATGCTAATGCTAGAGATCTTTATTATGCTCGTATCTTCACACTGCATGTAAATTTACCTGAAATGAGCGTGATCTAGAAACACAGTTAAGCAGTGAGTACAGTATGTTATTCTTCTTTTCTCTAGTCCCTCAATTAAACAACTTTTATTCGCGAGGGGAGGACTCAGCCGGCCGGAAAAACTCAGAAAACATCACAGACAGTGGGACTCGGGTGTTACACCCATTGTAGACAGTCATTACTCAGAGTTATTTTCAGAGGATACACTTGATTTCTATTATATTTAAGTGTGAAAAATTGCATATAAAGCCTTTAAAGTCACTGTCGGGAAAAGTAGGAAAATACGTTTTTGTCAAAAAAGATCTTCACTCATGTCTACTAGCTACTTTCAATAAGTGTTTTTCAGAACTTTCAATCAGATCTCTAAAGAAGAAAAAGCCAGTACCTGAACCAAGAGGGAAGATTGTTCATCAAACTATTATTCACCAAGAACAAGAATGACTTTCACACTCTACTGCAATACCTGAGCATGATGAAAGTAATGTGTTTAAAATAAAAAAAACAGTGGTTATGGTTGAAATGCTTTTATATTTGTTGGTGAATGTTTGTTAAAAAAGTTATGCCAGTATCAGTCAAATGTTTCAGAGCCATTGTATCTGATCCAGCAAGCTGCCGGAGAAGCTATGTCCAACCTCAAGTCTCTGTTTGTGGATAATTAGTTCAACCTAGTTAAAACAAAATCAGAAAGACTAATCCTCAAACACATTGACAAATTGTAATTTCTGTCATTTAAATTGGCTTCCTCAGCTGCCTCACTGAATGGAAAGTTATCAAGTACCTTCAGATTTGTTGTCTTTGTAATGTAGCTAAGTCTGCAACAATTTGAAACGCAGCAAACTTTCTTGGTAGTTGTACAAACTTTTTATTATTATTGAGTTAATAATATGCTGACACTGAGGTTTACGAGTGTCATCCACATCCATAATAGGTTTTGAATTCTGTTAAGTTTAAACTGCAGTGTCGCTAACAAAGCCAGGAGTTCTTTTTTTCTTCGTTTTTGGCAATGTACACAGAGACCTTTCAACTCTGATATGTGGACATTTGGACCACAGGGTTGGTTTTAGTGATCACTGGAATGTTACTTACTTCTTTGGCCGGACCAACAATGAAGAGACAATAAAAAATATGCATAGACCAAGTGTGTTGTTTTTCATATGATGCATGTTTGCATCTGTTGAAAGTCTATATTTTTGCTGTGATGGAAAGACAATAGAGGGAGAACTGTACGGCCAGGAGGCGATCTTCACTTTGCGATCATCTCTGAGCTTTAAGAGGCATCTTCAATGTCTCCCTGCTCCCTTGCCTCTGGATTCTGAGAAAGCAGGAACGACTCCCACACAGCCAGGCACTGAAAGAAAAGAAAGAAAGGCCCCATCATTATTATCATGATATAGGTTTCAATTAAAATTGTAATCACCTCTATGCTTTAGACGAGAGTGCTTGTTGGTGTTCTCACTCCCAATTTCCACATACGCTACAGTTCGCTGGCACTAAATGCTCCTACTTCCACAGCGAGCGCCGCGGTCCGTCTCCAGAGCGGGCCAGCAGCGCCACTACGCTCCGCTCCGTTTCAAATACACTGAAAGTCTATTTTCAACGGAGCACGATTGCAAGCTGGACAGAATAGGTCAACCTTGACATTAGTCGGACAAGGAAACACACAGAGCGTCGAGTCAATTTCAAAATAAAAGACAATATACAGACTCACGATCATATTTTCCAATCTATTAAGTCAAATCAGCTTAAGTGATACTGCCATGGACTGCTTCCATTCATCATCTAGCACGCGCACAATGTTCACGTTTTCCATCTTTATTTGTTGGACAATGCCTTTCAATGATTGAAATCACATGTAGATGAGATAAGATACTGTCGATAAAGCTTTATTGACTCCTCAAACGGGGACATTTTCAGCACTAACTGTGGCAAAGAAATAACGAAGCAAAGCAACACACACATATTACACCAAATACTCTGAAAAGTTAATGAAGCTGTTCTGAGTAGAAAAAGGTTAGGCCTTTGATTTCACATTGCACACAAGTTCTGGAGTTTCTTTAAATACATATTACATAGTAAGTAATACTCTAGAAGTTATTTTACTTTCAGTTTGGTTGTGCTTCTAAATAACATAATTTAAATCATGACGTTCTGTAGCCAAAACATCATGGTTATATGATTAAACCACAATTATTTCCAATAGTACTGTTCTACTTTGACTACCATGGTCCTCAACAGCACCATCAAATAACAATGTTCCCTCAAAGATTTCCCAAATGTCTATCCCAGCACTTCTCTCCCCGTTCTCTTCTGATCTTTCTCTCTCTCTTTCTAACTCACCATCTCATCAGTGAAGGCACATTATTGCACTGACAGAGGTACTAAGAGAGTCCCATTTTGTGTGTATGTGTGTCGCAGAACACTTGACAAAGCAAATCACACTTTCATGGCATAAAAGCAGTTATCTAGACAGCAGGAGGGGGGGCAGGAAGCCATGCAACCAGAAAGGGAAAATGACAAGCACACACTAACAGGCACAGACACCCTCAAAAGCCAATCTGTGAACTTGGGTTCCAGTCTGTCAACACACATCAATACAGCACAGGCAGTTCTTCCAAGGTAATAGCAGTTTGTTCAGAGGTGGAAATAAGTCAGAGCGTCAGCCGGGCCACTCTCTATTTAACAGCCACTTTTCCTCGACAGCACCCACAACACCTCGCTAGCACTGTGTGAAGGGCAGGCAGGACTTTTTGTCATTGTAAACATTTTGTAGGAGGCTGGAATGTCATAGGTCGAGATTCACCTAAATATACAATATTACAAACCTTCTCTGGCTGGTTGCTAAAAATCAATGGTTACTGACATTAAAAAGGGTGTACAAGTGCATTTAGGGCGTGTACATTACAGGAGCATTATCTGAGCAACATGTTAGGTTGATCTTGGCGACCCTGTTGGACAAGGTTGTGCATCTTACACAAGTACAGGACATAAGAAAAAGATTTTCGTTAACTTCAAAGTCAGGAACAGCTAGCACCTGCTATTGCTGTTTATATGGCGGATCTTGAGAGAAGAAGCTCTCACTTTGGGTGGCTGTTGCTCAGTGGTAGAGTCGGTCGTTTCTCATCTGGAAGGTTAGGGGTTTTGATCCCCAGCTCTTGTAGCTACATGTCCCATGTGTTCTTGGGCAAGACACTGAACCCCAAGTTGCTCCCGCTGCTTTGTCCACGGCGTATACGTGTGTATGAATGAGATTAGCTAATAAATCTGATAAAACGTCGGATTGCTTAATTAATCCATTCTGACTCCAGATAAGACATATTTTTAACCAACCCGGGTAGTAGAAATTAATATCTGGATTTTTACCCCCCCAGGACTGAACTATTTTACAAAAGCACTCTAAGGATGAGCATTTAAGTTGGGAGTCCAATTCGTATGCTCCATAGGCATTAACTGTTCAAACCAACACCAATCCCCTTTGTGAGTAATTCAAGGTGTATACTCCTTTAGGACATAGATCAATGTTAGTATCTCATCTGTCCAACAAGGTTAGGGTCCCAGGTGCTACATAAACCATTCCTCATAAAAAGGGGAGAGCATTACATCCCATCATTTGGGTGTGATGCTGAAACACAAGAACAACCTAAGGTTCAGCGGTGTTTCGTCATCATCAGCATTGGGCTTATATAATGGTTCGACATCAACACTGAGCACATCACACAGACTACACTGAGCTTTAGTTTCACTTATGATTCAGACAATGTTTGGATTTTAATGAACAGTGCAATGTCTTCAAGGCTTTTACAATGTTTTCTTTGAACAAAGTAATGTGATTAGAGTGAGTACAAATAGTTGTCTTTGCAGCATCATTTAAAAAGAACTTGTGCCTTTGGCTCCAGAGGCATATAGAAGATATACGCTTGTTTGTATCAAAGCAGATTCAGATGTTCCAGTGGAACACTAAATCTGTAAAAAAAAAAAAAAGAAAAAGGAGTCTGGATTTCACAGGCTGTGGACTCAGCACAGCCTTCTTTAAAAAAGCTTTAGAGACGAGGAAATTGTAGCACATTAATCTGACATCAAGACAAAGGGCTGTTGGAAAAGAAGAAAGGATTTATTCATCTGAAGTATAAACACAGAGGAAGAATTATGTTATTCTGACGGGGTTGAGTCTGGATTTTGTTCTTTCCTCTGGATAACAAAGATGTTTTTAGAGACACAGTCAATAAAATGTGTGTTTCCTTCTTTCTGAATGTGTTTCACTGCCGTATTTTACCTAGGTCCATGTATAAAAGAGTTGAACATTTTGAGAAATGTTGCTTTGGAAGAACTCTTTTGGTTCTTTTGTTTAAAACATTTAGATATTTGATGACTCATTCTGCACTCAGGGGTAAACAAATGAAAAAAAGGTCACCTCTAACACCATATAAATAACCCACCTTGCTAATAGCTTTCGGGTTCATGTAGCTTGTTTAGCTAAATTGCTCAAAATTCTCTACAAATATCAAGCATGTTTCACCCGAGGGCATGCGCGCTCCCATAGAGAGTTGAGTTGCTTGGAAACAGCGGGATGTCAACCTTCTCACAGCAGGTGAAGGTGAGGCGTTTCCAGATAAAGGTGAGTTATGCTCCCATAAAAAAAAGATACAATAAAATGTCTGTGATTCACACGGAAGGGAGTCGTATGTGTTCAACCTGGTATCATGCCAAAGGAGCTGACAGGCATGGCCCCAAAATGTCACCAGTCTAAGAAACTGCGAATCAAGCAAGCTAGGTATCCAAAAACTTCCTATATCAACTATTGTGTGGTTGAATTCAAGAGTTGATCAAATCTCTTTTTTTAAGATAATACACCTCCTGCAAATTATGTTTCACCTTGTCACAGTCAAACCTTTCACTACAGGACTTATAAGGGATGCAACAGTTTGATGTTTTCTTTTTTTGGGTGCTCCAGGCATAGTTTTTTATCCCTGGGAACATTGCTCCACCAAAGTTTAACTGAGCACCAAAAGTGAATCCGTACAGTACAATTCTACACTAACACAACCTTTCTCTTACTTTCTTCATTAAGAAAGACAAAAGGACCGCAAAATGGAATTAGTGACAAACTTTTCTGTTAAAGGTCACATATTATCCTCCTTTTCAACTAGTTTGAATAAGTCCAAGAGCTCCCCAAAACATGTCTGTGAAGTTTCTGATTCTAAACCCATTCTGATCCTGTATTTGATCATGTCTATAAACCCCTCTATTTTCTGCTCAGAACAGGCTGTTTCTGTGTCTGTAGCTTTAAATGTAAGTGAGCTGTGTCTGACCACGCCCCCTTTTTGGAAGGGCTTGGGTGGCTCGGGCTTTCTTGCACCATGTCCTGAGTTATGAGGACACCGTCATGTCCTCATGACGATGAGAAGGCAGACTCAGAGGGCAGAACAAACACCTAGCTGTGGGAGTGTCACCCACCTGGGGGAGGGGTTATCGCCCTTTGTGATGTCATGAAGGGAAAATCCCAGAATGGCCTGATTTTCTGAAAAGTGGAGCAGGCAAAAGACAGAGAGGATGGCCTTTTAATTGAGGGAAAGGCTAGGGCCACATATTAGTGTTAGAAAACCATGGTGAAGTGTATTTTGTAATATGTGACCTTTAAAGAAAAAACTGTTAGGTATAACTTTAGTCACACAATAGTTCCATCAAATCTAAAAACATGGTTACAAAAATGGAAATGGTAAACTTTCAGGTTAGAAATCATGTGCTTTTTAAAGGTGATCTGGCAAAACTGCAGGTTTGGTTTTACTACCTGTCTGGTAATGTTTCTGGTCCAGTCTCTTCTTGTGATGTACTAATAGATATACTTTCTTTTGATGTCTGTGTATTTATTAATCCATTAGGTAGTTTAATTATTACAACAGAACTAATTTTGAAATAATTAAAAAAACTGCACTTAGTGGCAGCATTAGTGGCCAATAGTAGGCATTATGGTAAGGCCAATACTTCAGTTGAAAGTTCATGGCCTTGATGCGTTATGAAAAAAAAAAAGAGTAAATAAGTACATGGATTTAAGAATTAAAAACACAGAAGATTAATTCAGCTATAGTACAAACACACACATAAACACACACATACAATTCAAACAATGGCTAAAGCTCTAATTAGGCCTTATTATAGGGTTTATTAGGGAAGCAGATGCCTGATTAGCTGACAGCTATTCTCCAGGCTTCACTGGTGCTGAACAGGTAAACAAAGAGAATCAGAAAAAAACACACACAGATGGCAGGAGAACTTACTGCAACCCCTAATACACATAAACATAATGAAAAACAGGTTGGCAGAATTCTTCTGAACCAAAAATAGATGTTTTGC